TTTTTTGATGTCCTAGAAAAAGTGGCGTGTCGCGGTATTCGCTCGGGTTTTTAAGGGCGAGAAAGGCCACGCATGATTGTAATTTTAGATTTTATAGGATGCTTAGGGTGCGTAGATTGAGTTCGAGCCATGAAAAGACGACCTTAAAGCACACATTAGTGTCCCTTTCAAGTACTTTGGAGGATTTTGCTCCAAGTGACGAGGATCCGCTTGACTGGTTTCTAAGATAAAAAGGTTTCAAGATAACTTTCATTGTTTACATGAAAAAGCTTTTATGAGACTTCACTGGTCAAAAAAGCCTCTGCTCATATTATTATTCTTGAAATTATTGAAACGTGTCATAGTCGACATATGATGGCATGCCTCCGAGGCGTGTATTCCAAAAGCAGGCAAGTAAATTAGATGTTAGACTTTACGCTGCCTGAGGTTCGTCTTCCAGAAAATGGTGACACTAGTTTAGGTTCTAGAATAGAAACCTAGCCAGTGCACTGTGAGTGCTAGCCTGGGGTCTTTAAAGCGCATCACGCAGTAATGATACACGACTCTACGCCGTGGCAATGCCAATCCAGACTCATAAAGGAAAGGGGGGGGGGGGGGGGAGATTGAACCAACACAAAATTTTGGGGTTCCATCCTGGCTCTCAGGATTCTAATTTTATATCATCATCATCAATTATTTTCCTTGAGGGCCCGTGGGGCATTATACAAGGGGGTGGCAATAGAACAAAAACAAATAGAACAGTAAACACAATTATAACACTGCAAGCTAGCTAGGTAGGTTAGATAAAGAGAGGGTAATGGCTTCAACAAATTTAGCAGTATCATTAATAGAAACGATGTTATGAGGTAGTGAATTCCAATCCTCGATGGCCAATGGTAGTGTGGAAGTCTGGTGAGAAACAGTTGATGATCGAATTGGACGTAATTTACATAGGTGATCTAGACGCTGGAAAATACGATGGGGAGGTGATAGCAGTGATTCCTTGAGGTGGCTATTGTGATAAAAAATTTGATGGAGGAGAGAAAGGCGTGATACTCGGCGGCGAAGGGAAAGTGAATGAAGGTTAGCTGATTGGCGTAATCCTGATATGCTGGTAAATGGTGAGTAGTTGTTATAAATAAAACGAAGGGCTCTGTTTTGGACGGATTCTAGATTATTTGCAAGGTAGGACTGCCATGGGGACCATATAGATGAGGCGTATTCTAATTTCGATCTTATAAGAGTAGTATACGCTAGTCGTTTTACGGAGGGTGTAGCAAGTTTAAGGTTACGGCGCAATTATCCGAGAGAACGGTTAGTATCAGAAATAACAGAAGTTTACTTGAGTAGTTCATGATAGGTTAGAGGTGAGATGAACACCCAGGTACTTATAAGATGAGCATGCTATTACTTGAGTGTTAGAGAGGTAATACGAAAATGGTGTGGCACGCGAACTGCGGGAAATTGATAGGGATCTACATTTATTGAAGTTTAATGTCATCTGCCATTTTTCACACCAATGGATTACAGACTCTAGGTCTTCCTGGAGAGCATGATGATCATGGTATGAAAGAATGGGTCGGTAAATGACACAATCGTCGGCGAACAGGCGCACAGGAAAAGCGATACTAAGGTGGAGATCATTAATATAGATTAGGAACAGAAGGGGGCCCAGTGCGGTTCCCTGGGGGACACCTGACGTTATGGTAGAGGTGGGAGATTTTACGTTGTTAACGGAGGAATATTGCTTACGGTTAATTAGAAATTCAGAAATCCACTTAACAACAGAGGGATGAATATTAATATCGTTAAGCTTTGTTAAAAGACGTTGGTGGGGTACTTTATCGAATGCTTTGGCGAAGTCAATGAAAATGGCGTCGGTCTGAATATTCGAATCAAAGCTTGAGTAAATATCAGTAAGGAAGGCGGTTAGCTGGGTTTCACAAGAGTAAGACTTACGAAATCCGTGCTGATGACTCAATTATCATATCACAAAACGCCTTATACGAGTAGTCGATCTGCGACCATTTTCACGGCAACAAAGTGGCTCTCAATAAAAAGATATCCAGAGAGAAAACACTTGCGAACTTGAGAAGCACAAATAAACAGCTAGTGAAAAAAAAAATGTAATAATTGTTAGGAAGCTTTTTGACTAAGACGTGCACCCGTATTGCCTAAAATTATATAAATCAGACACCTACCAGGTATTTTATCTGCTTCATTTCTAAGGTGAGTCAGTATAATATCATACTGTCGAGCAGTTGCCGTTCAACTTTTAATCATCAAACGATATTTTGATTCTTTTTCGTAAAAAAGAATGGAAAAATAATGGAAAAGTAATTGAGATAATGAAACCATACATTTTGTGCCGGCTACTGTCAATAGAGACTATATTAGTTCGCAAACATCCCGTCGCTTGCTGCATACAAATGCGCATGCTTTGTTTATGTTTTTAATGCCGTTTTTGTCGATTTTAGAAAAGTTCAAGATAAACGATTTTTTTTAAAATTTATTTTGACGTTTAGATTTTGTACATCTCGACCGCGCCGGTGAAGTTTCAACGTTTTCTTGACATTTATAAAAATAAAAACAATTTTGTTTTACTATGGACTCTCGCCTGCATTACCAAGTACTCAACGCATATATATTGCAGGACATTGTGCCTTTGCTCTGTGCATAGTAGAAACAAAACCCCTAGAGTGCCATGATTTATTTTTAAGCCTGTAACAATAGAAAAACTACAATCGTCGTTCAGCCAAAACTATTTATCCTTATCGTCTGATGTTCCCGCACCTTATGTATTTGTTCCTATTATTTCTACTTAGTCGCGCCACAACGGTTGTCACGTCGCTTTACTTATTTTTTTTTCATACTACCGTAATATTCAAAACGTTATCCTAAGCAAACATTAGGCCCACTTACTTAAAAAGAACAGGAAAAAACAACCAAAACCTCTTTAACAAAGGTTGAATTACGTTGGTTTGGATTATTCGAGCGGAATACATAACATGTGACGTGATAGTGGCAGCGGATGGTTTCTGGATTTTGTAGAAAAGTAATGTAACATGAGTTTAGCAGATTTTTAAACAACTTCTCCACCTTAAAAATTATAATCGTGGGTCTTCACACCTAGCGCAGTTTTATGAACCTTCAATTACGCTGCTAAATCATCAAATCATCTAACGAAAATAAATAAGACTTCATCAGGAAACTAATTCGAGAAGATCAGATGTTGATACACACATTTTCGTTTCGTCGCTCGACGAAACCTCTGACATAACAAGGTACTACAGCCACTAATCGTGACGTCCCACCTTTTTCGGTTCCCCTCCTTATCAATATCGATCACCGCTCTTTCTGGACAGCCGAGATGTATGTCGGACAAACTGGCTCAACGATCGGCTGCGATGTCTCAAGGATCGGCTGCGAGAGAATCATAACAACACGAACAGGACTGTCTCTGACCATCTAGAGATTCACTGCCGAGATTGTGGTTGTGATCCTCAGTTCACGAGATGAACTGCATTGGCGCAGAGTGGCGACTCTCTAATTAGAGAAATTATTGAGGCAGAGAAGATCGCGCGACTAGATGACAAGTGTATCAGCGCCCCTTCGGTTTCTTCATCCGCCAAAGAATTACACTACTACTTAGTGAAGTAGTCAATGCAATGGGCGCAGATTTCCAGTGTGTACGTTCGTTCTCCTTGTACCATGGTCCTGCTTCTTACAATAAAAGTAGAAGAAACGTGAGTGATAAGTCGACGCGGTGTTTTTCTTTCTTTATGTCCTCTCCTTTTGTCTTTTTTTGTAAGGCGTTGTTGGCGCTAATGTGAACCCAAGATGCGATGAGCTGCGCGACGCGACCCACGCTTTGATAACAGGCGGGACCGAAGAGGGTGGAGGAAGGAGAGCCCCAAGAGACGACATGCTGGCCTTGATGCGTCGCGGCTCGTGTATCAATTGTTGCAATACGAAGATTTCCAGAGGCGTTTCATGTGTTTTGTTCTTCAAATCGCGAGCTGAAATTTTGTGGACACTCCCACGAGGAAGTCCTGGTACGAGGTTACTATATAAAACTAGCGAGCACCATTTTAGGCTGGAGAGGTCCTTTGGTGTTTTTTTTTTTTTTTTATCGGAGGTTAACTTATTCCCCTAGTCTACTCAGTTACCTATTTCTGGGAGAGGGAAGGGGGGGGGGGGGGTGGGAGGGAGAAGCTATTTCTCGGGATATTACTAAATTCAGTGTCTATATTTTACCGCTTCAAATTTTGATTTTGAATTATTTATAAGCTGCCTTTTTATGCCATCTGATTTCTTTTAAGTGTTAAAATTAGCCGAAGAGTTTATTCTGCTGAACACCACGAAAAAAAGTTAAAATACCGCTGAAAGCGATCCGTAGGTTATGCCGCTAAAGAAAAATAATAAAGGACGATCGCAATTCAGGTATATACCTGAATATATATATATAAATATATATATATATATATATATATATATATTATATATATATATATATTTCGTCGAGAATAAAGCTTTCAATATATACATATATATCGAAAGCTTTATTCTCGACGAAATGCTAGTAATAAAAAAAACACTAGTAGCAAAATGAATACAAATCAATTGGCTCCAGATAAATAGCTACAAACAAAAGTAAAACAAAGCAATGGCGCCATTTAGATTCTTATAATTTGCATACTTCTCAACTCTAGTGGGATGATTCACCTGGTAATCAATCAAAGTAATCTTGGATCGCCTTCCCTTTTAACCAGGCAGTGGTGAAGCCCTTTGATGAAAGTTTCGCTTGGCGTTTCTTACAATACCGGCAACCATGATTGTTGAAACGCGCAAGAGATATGTCACAAGCGAGTGCACCGTCGCCATTCGCTTCAAAGGGCCGCACATTTCAGTTTGTCGCCGCCATTTGCTTTTAAGGGCTACACGAGGCAAGAACCTCGTGCAGTGGCTCATCTGACCCTACTTGACAACACAAACAATTCAAAGAACTTCAAAGTACTCACACTGAATGTTAAGCGTCCAGCCGTCCTCGAGGCCAGAGTTTGAGAGCAGGGGGTTGTCGGCGTGGCAGGACAGGTACTTCCCGTGGTCGTCGATGCTGGGCGAGAACGTGATGCTGCTCGTCGTGTAGTTGTCGTTGACGGTCACGTTGTCGCGGACAAAGGACAGCTTCTTTTTGCCCAGCCACCACGTGATCTGCGGCGGAGGTCGGCCGCCGCTCGACTGGCACACGAGCTCCACCTTGCGGCCAGCGGACAGCGGGCGTTTCAGACTGATGATCCGTACATCCAACGGTCGCACTAAAAAAAATAAAAATGTATTTGTATATTTTTTTATCCTACTTCCAACCGTGAGGTTGAAGCAGTCGGTAGGTATGTTAAAGGCAAAGGAGACCGTCAAGGATTAAAGTGTAATCAAGAAAAGAAAACACATATAGGCCAGTACAGCATCTATCAATTGACGGTTGCAGTCGTCGCTAGTTTAAACAAAAAGTTCTTAACCGAATTCGCGATAAAGCGATGATGCACAATACATTTGTTGCGTTATGTTTTATATTAGCGCTGAGATGGTTCGGTGGCGCCTCTTATGGTTTCCGCTCGTGACGTCACGACCAGGAATTGCCGCCTCGTGATTGTCAGTATTTGCGTCTGCCTCGCCGTGATTAACAGCGGCGCGTTTGGCCGCGCACGTCGGTAATATTCACTGACATCTTAAGAAACGCAGGGTGTGGCTTATTCTATTCTGGCTTCTTGCTATGTGATTAGCTCTTCGGCGTTCTTATCGGTTATTGCTGCCACCTAATTGGCTGTTGAGCGAGAACAAGACGCTCGGGACCCCCTACGCACGGCCTTTCTCGAGTTCTCAGTGACTCCAGTTGCTTTATCACGGTCTGCGTGTGTAGGGTAGTTAGGGAACGTAAACATCTTAGACACAAATCTGTCTGGATGATGCTGAAGGGAAGTGACGCAAGACGAGGTGCAGACGCTGCCAGTTTTTGTGACGAACCTCTCCTCCAGGCAGCTCTCGCGTGCGAGATGGGGGCCACGGCTTCGACATGACCTCTACGTGGCCGTCTGTGCCAAAAAAATGGTCGCGGCTGTGGAGGGCAGTATTGCCCATCTAAACCCTATAGCGTTCGGGAAGGAAAACGATTCAAAGTGATCGGTATCGTTTCGAAACTTTCACCCCGGCAGCTACACAATCTATCGAGAGAGGTGTCAACTGCGTTTCGGAAAATTCCGCCAGGATACTGAGATCATGCTTCTGCCGGCAGACAAAGGAAACTCGACCTTCGTATTAGAGCAAAAGATGGACGAGCGCAAGCAACGAAATCTTATTAACAGTCCCGCTTATGAAAGGATAAAAAAGAAGAGCGGACGCAAGAAGTTCCGAAGACCTTTAACAAGATGCTGCAGAAAATATGACGCGTTGCCCAGAGTCAAAATACCTTTACCTGCGGCACATCTGCAGAAATGGCTCTGCGCCAGGCTTTTATGGGTTTCTCAAAACTCACAAGCCCCTGCGACCCAATGTCAACTTTAGAACATGGCCAATTTAAGTTCTGCTGAGTTAGCTGCCCCAGATATACTGGCTTCTCTCGTTGGAAACGCGTCGACCCGTCTGAAAAACACCGGCCACATCGTGGAGCGCGCCTCGCAAGTGGAACTTAGCGATTGTAACAGCATGGTGTTCTCCGACGTTGTGTTACATCTTACCGGCGTCCCTGTCCCACTGGCAGCGTATTCCGCTGAACTACCCTTCATATAGGTCAGCAGAATTTAAATGGGTACTTCCACATCTGTCACTACAGCCAACCTAACGATGGCAGCGATCGAACAGAAAGCGCTGCGGTCTTTCGACAACAACCCCAAAATGTTCACGCGCTACGTGAGTGATCGTTTCTGCGTCCTAGCGAAATTCTACGTTAACAATTTGCAGACACACCTCATCTCCATCGAGCCAACCATTCAATTCACCATGAAATGCGAGACAGATGGCAGCTTGCCGTTCCTTGGTCTGCTGGATAAAAGGCTAGAGGATGAACTGAAGATTACCATGCACAGGAAATCGACACACACACAGGGCGTTATCTACAGTTCGAATGGAGCCACCCAGCAAGCCACCCAGCGAGCCACCAGGCGTCTGTGGTCTTGGCACTCCCTTCCAGGACTACGACCATCTGCTCGTTGGAGACCGACAGGCAAAAAAAAAAAAACACAAATCATCGTTACTGACCTCAAGGAAGAAACGGATATTTAAGTAGCTTAATGAAACGCATCGCCCGCAGCCAAGGTCGATCCCGCTAAAATCAGGAGCTTCTCCCCATTGCGCGCATCAGCGTCCCCTACGCAAAGGGTACCAGCGAAGCGCGGGCGTGTGTACTGAGAAAAGAAGGTTTTGAAGTTGCTCACAAGCCAGTATCCACACTGGGACGATTCATGCCGCGATCAAAAGATCGGGTCCCAAAAGCAAAGGCACAGGGCGTGGTCTAACAGATTCCTTGCGCAGTGTGCTCCGTCACCAACATCGCCGAAACGAAGATCCTTTCGGAACGAATCCGCCGGCAAGAGAACGACGTGCAAAATTCGACAGCGAGCGCAACACCGTCGGCGAACACTGCGAGGTTCTCGACCTTCGGATCAACTTTGAGATGGCACGCGGGATCGACACCGAGCCTTAATTTCTGAAATGAGTTTTCCTGGAGTCGTGATAAACCCAACGTACTCCAGGAAATTTAAACAGTCCCTTGGTGCCTTGTCATCTGTGTACGCCTAATGTACACCCAGGGCCTATGCCACCTGGCAAAGACAAATAACAAACAACCGCCTTTCTTAAAAAGAACTGTTCTTGACAGATGAAGACGACGAGGGCTGCTGAAGCCCCGATGCTGCTTCCCCATGCAATCTAGTCACTCGTGATGAAGAAACCTATCAGGTTTCGAAGGGTTGAGACAATGTTTCGAGGCTTTGGCTGGAGTACTTTCATGTTACTACTGGAACATGTTACGAATATCAATACAGAAATAACCATGTAGCAAGTGAAAGATGATTTCGTCCCAGGCAATATTGTCTTGGTAGTTATGGGCAGAATGCTTTCATCAGACTTCTGTAAAGAGGGAGAACGTCCTTGGATCGGTAGCGGTTCAAATTAAATCGAAGAGCTTTACTTTGTATTCGTTCAATTTGATAAATGTTTTGTTGCGTGAATGGCTCCCGAAGTGGGCTTGTATTGATGTTGATGGCATGCAGGTTATATCAAAGAACGAAGTTTTGTGTTCCCCAGAGAAGGATTGACAATTCATTAAGATCAATATGTCACCGTAATTTTACGTCCAAGTCACACGTGCCTATACCGCAATATGGCATCCTCTTGTTGAGGGTACGTCAGACCCTACCTAGCACGGATGGTCTTGTGGGCTTACAAGGGACCTTCATGGGGTGTTAAAACGTCCCGGGGATATACCCATGATCATGTGTCTGCTGGGAACGAGATTTGAGCTCGCTAATTGGTAGTGCATAGGAGCACACCCGGTTTCAGAGCAAGACATCTTCTAATACATGTGATAAAATGGAAATATAATTGACGCGTTCATTAATTACCAGCCGTGGATACTTTTTGAGCTTACAACACGCCGTTACGACCAAGTGCCGTAGCAAGCTGCGTGTTTTTAGAGAGCAGCTCTTAGGCGCCCGTTTCCGGCTTGCAGCGTCGCCGTTGCCGTCGCCGTCGGCGTCGGCATAACCGCGCGTTGCATTATGAGACATTTCTAAATGACGTCACGTGTGAAGTCACCCTCATGACGTCACACGGCACCTAAATGTAGTCGAAAAATTTTCCCGCTGAATTTAATAGAAAAAATTCCCCGCTAACTTTAGCGGGAAACTTTCTCCGCTAAATTTAGCAGGACAAATTCCCCGCTAAATTTATTAGAAAACTTTTCACGCAACATTTGGCGGAAAAAAATTTCCGCAAAATTTAGCGGAAAAGTTTCTCCGATATATTCAGCAGAAATATTTTCCCGCTACATTTAGTGGTAAAATTCCCCGTTAAATCTAGCAGAAAACATTCCCCGCCAATTTTAGCGGATCAATTTCCCCGTTAAATGGGAGGGAAGCAGAAGACGAGGAGGGGAGGGCGAGGAATGCATACCCTCCCCTCCGTACCCTCCCCTCCTCCTTCTCTTCAAAAGCTGCGCTCTAATTTGGCGTCACAGGGCATTGTAAACGTCTGGCATTTTTTACTGAATAGTTTTAATAAAATTATTGATATGAAGTAGCTGAAATTTAGGAGCATACCCGTGATGTTTGGTTCGGTATAAACACTTTTTTTATGTTTCTGCTTGATAGAACTATATACATGTGACGCGTTAAGGCTCGCAAGAAAATTTTGTTTTGTTTTTTGCCGCCGTCGATGTTGAAGGGCGAGGTCGGAGCATCGTGAAGCTGCTTCCAAAGTGCTGAACAATACACTCGATAATATTTTAGTCTTCAGTTTTATTTCTGCAATCTACAATACAGCTATTTTATATTTGTTAATATTTTAGGCCATCTTTTAAACTCATCTTTCTTCGCAATAACACTGCCGCGCACGGTCGCCTTAAATATTATTATCTGAGGCATGTTCGATGGTCCTCTCGGCGTGCATTACTCCGGGCGTGTGTGTCACGCTCGCAGTAATGCCTCCCATCCCACATCACCTGCGTAAGCTCAATTCACAGCTGAAATCAAAGTCCGAGGTAGAAACTTTGATGTATGGCCGTGATGTGCAACCGATTAGGTTCCGATAACATTTTCACTGCGGTACACAGAAGCGTAACATTTGATCGAGGGCTATGCAGTTCGCACGTTTGGGAAACCACGAACGCCCAGATGTATGGGCATTGCGAGCCTATTGATCCGTCAGTGGCTAGAGACTTAGTAACATACCAACATAGCAACGCAGTCGTCTATTCTGGTGTCAGCTTTGGTTTCCGTCGACTGTTTGACCTCAGACTCAGAGCGACCCGCAGAAGAACAGACGTCTGCGGCGTCCACCTCCGCTGCTGTGCTACCACCAATATCGTTGCACGCAACTGCATTACATCTTTATGACGTCATCAGGCGGAAATCGAGGGACCATTTTTGAAGCCAGTCACTACACAGCTTTTACGCCAGGGCGCCGCCATCTTGAATGTCGTCACTTCCAGTATGGGCGAGAACATCGTTACGCCAATAGAAGACATCCAGGATATAAGCGTAACCGCCAACCTTTATTATTTGCATGTTACAATGTCGTTTTTCGTCGCCCATACCGGAGACCT